TACAGGGTGTGGCAGAAATACCTCCGACATTTTAAAATTTCACCTACGTGTTGCTAATTAACTTATGCAAGTGCGAATGATGTCCTCATTTAGCTTATGACTTCCCTTTTTTTCATATACCCACATCTAGCAATATGGTTTGGACTGTTGCATAGTGTGCTTTTGCTGTAGAAATGTTTTTGAAGAATGGGGAATCTGTAATTGCAACACAGAGAACTTTTCGAACTCATTACATGTTAGGTCAGAATGCTGTTCCAGATAGAAAAACAATACTGCTATGGGTTGCAAATGTCAGAGCCACAGGTTCAACACTTAAAAAAAGCCACCTGGAAGACCTCGAAGCACTCAAACTCCAGAAAGTGTTCCAGCTGTGAGACTTTCTGTTACTCAGTCTCCTATATGTTCAACTCATAAACATGCTTCTGCCTTGGGATTGTCTGACCCTATTTTTTTGAGGAGAGAAACCACTCCATTACAGTAACATCTGACTGGTATGTGGAGCTGCTGCAGACATTTCTGGAACCAAAAGTAAGCAACCTTCTCAATCAGGATGTGTGGTTTCAGCAAGATGGAGCCACCGTGCACACAGCAAGAAGATCAATGGAAGCTTTGAGGGAAATGTTTCCAGGACATTTGATTTCCTTACGCGGTGACCTTGAATGGCCTGCATGCTCACCTGATCTCAACCCCTGTGATTTTTTTCTCTGGGGTTACTTGATAGCAGAGGTCTACAAACATTGACTGGGTACCATTGAAGAATTAAAGGATGCTATTCGTCAAAAGATTGCAGAAATACCACCTGGAATGACTCTTTGAGTGATGGAAAAGTTCAGAAATTGTCTACAACAGTGTATAGTGAATAGTGGCCACCATTTGGAGGATGTAATTTTTAAAACCAAATGAATAAAAAGTGTAACCCTTTGTTTAAACAATAGTGAAATTAATTTTTAATAAATGTTGTTTCTTTTTCCTTTTTTTAACCTTTAAAATGTGGGAGGTATTTCTGACACACCCTGGTTTTTCCAATGTTGTAAAGTTTACCTAATTTTTGTTACTGTTCCTTTTTACTGATTTGAAGATACCATGATTTTAGGATAAGGCAGTGTTGGAGAGGGTACAAAATTAATTTCTTACAAGTGGGAGCTGCAACAAAATCTGGAGTGTTCCTGTTCAGGTTTGAGCCAGCCCATTTCCAGGATATTTAATTCTACCTGCCCTCATTGCCCATTCTCACCCACAACATCCTTATTGTGCATTTCGGGGTTTTGGGTTCTGCCTGCTTTAGAGTGTTTTTTCCAGCTTCTTTTTTGGCATTTATGAAAATCTTGGGATTTCACCAAGCCTTTTGATACATCACTCTGCAGCATTTGGGGATATCCCCCGTAACACAGGACAATATTTCCTTCATAAGGTTCCTTCTTTCACAGCCGCCACAAATAGGAAAATACTCCTTGAGTGGATGGTACGATCTCTGAATGGCTGTTCCTTTGGGTCAAGCATAAATTGTGCCTTAAGATCTTGGGATAGTACATCACTAGAGATTAGTAGTTTTTGTTAAATTCACTTGCAAACAAGTAACATTGTGAGAATTTCCTATAAAGGTTTTTTTAGTCTACAACTCCATGCAATCTATATGACTCAGTAAAAGCTCGCCCAGTGTGGAATCTGCAGGTCAGATTCTTTGGAATCTGAACTTACCGGAATCCATTGTGGATTTTCATTCAAGCATCAACCTGTCCCTTTGCTGTCAAACCCCAACCAAATGAGCACTCTGGGTTGGTGAAGGCTATTCCAGTTTGAATTCTCCCTGTGTCCACCCTGTCTCCTGTGCCTTAAGACAGAAGCATATTATTTGGACATTATTTCCCTGACATTTGGAGGCCCTGCTGGGATTATGTGAGTTCAGATTAGTTATGCCTCTAATAGCATGGTCTTATTGGTTGGGGTTAACATTTCTGGAAGGGAAAAAGCTGTCTCTTGGGGGACCTGGACCAGTGACAGTACAATTTGTTGAGATACTGCCTTGTAAGCAGTGTGTCTACTCATACACCTGGAACATTTGTTGCCACCATAAAGATGCCATAAAGTATCATGTTTGCTTTTACTTGCACCAAACTGCTGCACTGAAGAAACTTGCACCAAACTGCTGCACTGAAGAAATATCCCTTTTGTTGGGGCCCATTTGTGGTTGGCAACTAAATGTTTAACATCTTTGTATTGATCTATTAAATCATCCTATCAACTGTGCTTGCCAAGAAAGAATGCTCTGACAACCCTAACAAAGTACCACTCCCAGAACTGGTTTTCGTACAGCTGGAGCGCAAGTACATTTGAGCTGTGCCTCCTGGTGACTTGACAAACTCTGTTATTCAAAGCTAACATCTTGAGCTTTAGAGACCCCTGTATAAGTCGAAGGTTTTGGCTCCTGTTTCAAAACAGAAGCTGTGAGATGGTGCCAAGTGAGTGCAAAAGTCAAATGGGTTATCTTCATTTATTTTAATTTTTATTTACTGCCCCATTCCCATAGGCTCTGGGTGGTTTATTCAAAAGTAAATTCATGTTAAAATCTAAAACACTGAGGTCTTCTCAGTTTTTAAGGGAAATTCAGATAATGAATGAAACTATTGACACAATGAAATATAGAACAATGTATTTACCAGTAGATCATAATCCAAGGTTTATATTCTTAGATTTCTTTAAAGCAAGCCTCATGTAATCCCCCCATTGCAGAAAGAACATCATTGAGCCTGTTTTCCACATAATGCTTTCTGCTGCTTGTTATTCTCTTCTTTGTTCTATGAAAATAAACAGAAACACAGACAGGCAAATAGAAAAGTTGTTCTTGTTAAATACACTGAGGTCTGGAAGAACTGTTACACCATACAAAGGACCTGAGGGGAATAAATGAACAACACACAGTGCAGTCATTACAGATAATGGGGCTGTTTCATTCAATATGTGCCACTACTAACCCAAGTTGAAAAGCAGGCTAAAGCACATAAGAAGGGAGAGAGAGAGAGAGAGAGAGAGAGAGAGAGGGGGGGGGGGGGCAGGCTAATAAACTGTCGTACCTGCGTGACAAGTCAAATAGGTAAACGAAAAAAGGGGTCAGCCATATTAACTTACATTTGGCATTTGGTTCTTCACTGAATGGGTTACAGGCATTCTACAGCCACCAGAATAATTCTGTAAGTCTAAGTCCAGAAATAGGCATCAACATCGCTCTCGTTTTCACAAAAATAAGGAACTCCTGTGCTGAAAGACTTGAGGGCTACAAGCACTCCCAGTACCTAGATACTTCTCTAACAAAGACAAGATCTTGGAACCTTTCACAGATGGCAAATGAGAACCAGTAATTCCATCTAAGGGACTGCATGTAAAATTGTGTAAGTGGGACCTGAACAAGACTTGGCCATCTTAATGCCTTCAGAAAATCATTTAGTCCCCTTTGTAGCTTGTCCAGTGAAAGTTCTTCAGTGCTTCTCAAACTGGAGAAACAATTGAAGTTTTCTTTCTGTTGTGAGCCATTTACTCTAGAGAAGTCCGATTCATAGTAATTGTACTGACAATGTATTAGTCAGACTTGTCTTGTACTCTTTATAAGGCACATAGGTCTTTTAAAATAAGAGTGGAGCCCTCTATAACCAATTCTCCAAAATCCCAACATGCCATCATTATGCCTTTGTATGAAAATTGCCTTGCTAGTTGATTGTCAGGTCTTGATTCCGATTCTCAAGCCTGAAGCACTCGTCCAGCTCTGTTCAGTATCTAAGGCAGGAATGGGGGAACTAGCAGACATCCAGATGTTGTTGGGACTTCAGCTTCCACATGCCCAAGCCAGCATGGTGGCTATTGCAACTGCAATCCAACCTCTGGAGAAACAAAGGTTCCCAGCTTTGAGCTGGAGATAACTGCTAGTGTGGGAGCCTGAGAGATCCCTGCCCATTCAGCAGGAAGGGGCAGAGTCAGTGATACATGAAAAGGATTTGTCTTAGTTTTTAAAAATGCACTGTGAGGCAGGGATGTGATCGGATCAGTACTCTCAGAAAGGGCATTTCTACCCTCCCTTCATGCACTTTCCCCCAGTTAAAATCCCTCCAAACCAGTGATTTCCCTTGCTGGGCAACAGCATACCTGCATCATGCAAGTGCCTATATTTTGCCTGGTAGAGCAAAGTGCACCTTCAGAGATGTAGTGGAGTAATCAAGGAAAGGGTGTAAAAGAAAAGGGGGTTTCCTGCACCCCTCCCTGATTCTATCAACTTGATTTGACCCATACTAGCATGGCTACTACTAACACTGAATGTAAATTGAGAAATCCTATTCCAACATAAATTTTGACCATCACCCATCTGCTACTGCTAACACAACCAACTTTTCAAAGGGCATGCTAGGTACTTGGGTGTTCATCATGTGCATGCCATTACTGTAATAACATAAAGTGCTTTTTGATGGCTCTAGTGAGTTTCACTGGGATCACCCAGGTCAGTCTTGCCTACTGAGTACCTTCCAAATGTCTTGGACTGAATTTTCGTGGCTGGGAATTATGAAAGTTGCAGTACAAGACCTCTGGAGGGCATCAGGCTGAGAGAGGCTGGCACAGGCAAATTTCCATTCCAAGTGAAGTTTTCAACAGTCTCTGGCAGCTTAGCGCACAACATGAACTGCACAGCAAGCACCACAAAATAGGGTAGTAGATGTTGCCCTACACCCACCTGTATGTGGCAGTCCTTGTTCATATCTAAAATGCCGGAAGAACTGAAAACAACTCTCAGCGGCATGAGGGGAAAACTCAGAATTAGTAGTTGTGGAAAGCTCTACCTTTATGCACAACAAAAGAAAAACTTTTATGTTGTGTGAAGCTAGTATAAAAACGTATTTGTGGAGGGTAGGCGTGAAGGGGTCCCATAAAGCACTTTTTTAAGTGAAGGCCCCATAGGTATTTATGTTTTCTCATTTTATCATTTACTGTAGTAAATCAATGCCTGTAGATAAGGAACAGACAGTAGACATGAAACTTATTTATTTCAACAGCTGTACATTAAAAATACCACCCATTCCAAAGGCTAGTTTAGAGATAAGCAGGATGCAGCACATACACAGGAAGTATCTTTGGCATTTCCGGTTCTGCATGGTGTTGCCAGTATTTTTCAGCATTTCCAGTGGTATGTGCTTGGCCATGCACAGACATGGAGACTGACGCAGTCCTTGCCTACAGAATTCTACATCCTAAATATCATAACTCACAATGTTTGCCAGTTATCAGTATCTGAGGCTCTTAAGACCCATGTGACACAAAGCCAGAATGCGACACACACACATATACAGATTGCATGTAGGGCTGCTTTTTTCCCCTTGGGCTACATCTATGCCAATATCTGGAGTTAGACTTCACAGGCAATGATGTTTTCATGAAGGGCTGGTGATCATTTTTATCATCTTCGCACTGTGGTAACTGTCATGGCTTCTTTTTCCTGTAGAGAAAAGATTTAAAATGGGATGTGAATATCAGTTTAATACACAACAGGACAAACTTACCCCAGGAGACGCATATAAAAATGATGAGGAAATGGAAGGAAGAAAGGACACCAGAAAACTTTTTTCCATTTGGATTTGATGAACTTTTCACATATTTCTGACCCAATGCCAAAAGTAAGCTGAGTTGGAGTTTTGGTTTAAGCTTCCCCAACACGTCTTGAAATTGGTGCACACATTTGGAGATGAGAACTGCAAACATCTACAGCAATTTGTCCCAACTGCTTAAGTATATCAGAGCTGACTTGTTAGATCTCAGTTTTTGTTGTTCTCATAGTATGCCATATAAGACATATGGAAACATCATCCTCTCCAAGTGTATACATACATTCCACTTTGGCCACCTTGCATTTTCTGACAGTCAATTTCAGATTTGTACAAAATTCAGAAAATTTTACACAAATTTGTACAAATTGTGGCGGTCTGAATTTTGCACAGATTTCCCCAGGTTTTTTTTAAAATACATATATTGTGTCCTGTTTTAAGTCTGTGTGCTGCCTCAACTCACACCAGATTGAGTTGGTGCTAACACGGGGTTGATGGAATAGAAGAATCATAGGAAACCCCAGTGAAAACTTTTCACCCTGATATCCAATTCTTCACACATCCCTAGTTATATTCTTAGAATTCCTCATAAACCAATGATCAGGGGAGCAGCTATGCCCTAACTCAGGTGGCTTCACCGGGGAAGTCCCTTCTCTTCAGCACAGTTAGTTCGGATGAGAGACAGTTTCCAGCAGCTGCCAACTGCGGCTAAGTTGCCTTCCTCTCTGCCCACCTTCTCTCAGTAGGCCAAGACAATTTTATGTAATCAGGTCTTTGGCATTTGCAAAGGTCTAAGTGGTTGGATGCTGTTTTTATTCTTGTATTCTTGTGTTTTTAATATAATCTATGATCGTTTTTATTCTTATTATTTAAATGTTGTCTTCTATTACTGTTAGCAGCCTTGAGTGTCATATGCTGGTAGAAAGGCAGGATGTATGTTGAACAAATGAACGACTGAATTATACTGATTTCTTTTAACAAAGTGTGCTAGGAATCTTGCTTGTATTTACAATGGCAATTCAAAACACTGGATGGCATTTGTCTGCCAAATGATTCTTGTTCTTGGCATCTAGGATTGGGGGAGAAATTCATATGATTCTCATTCTACTGTGGTTACCTAATTCCACATGCCTGAAACCTCATGCTAATGGAAACTCAGTTATGATGTGAAATTCGCACATGTCCAAATTTTGCAATGAATTTCTCCAAATAAAATTTGTGCAAAATGAATATATTGTTGTGTTTCTGTACTGGCCGATTCATGAAATTCTCTGTTAGCAGTATTGTAATGAGTAAATATTATGAGAATTAAGGTTAAAATGCATTGTATAAGGAAAGCTGCTTGCAAAAATCTATAAAGTGTTTTCTTAGGATAAATACACAGAAAAAAGCTTATGGATTTTCATGCACACTTTAAAAAAAAATCTTAGTGTTTGGGTTGGTGTTGTGCCTTGCATTCCTTGCAAGAGGGAAAAAAACAGGATAAAAATTCAACAACATTTAGGTGCGGGTAGAAGTAAACTGATTGAAGTGGCCTTTATGGGGTGTCCAGCTGCTCTGAACTGGGAAAGAATGTCAATATCAAGTAGGATTTTTGGATGGAAGCTGAAATCAGATGGCTGTTAGCATACTTACCTGAACAATCTTTTGAAGGAAGTCATATAAAAGTACTAAGACTCCTCTTCCTCCTCCTCCTCCTCCTCCTCCTCCTCCTCCTCTTCCTCCCCTTCTTCCTGTGCTTCTTCTACTTCCTTATTTACATAAAAAATAAAAGAGTGATTACCTACTGGAACTGAAGGAAACAAAGCATTACATCTGGCATGTTAATTTCTTACCAGGAAAAAAAAGGACCCTTCCCCCACATGCACAAATAAACAACTTGAACTGAAATTTAAGAAGACATCAATTATAAAGGTAAGCACATGTGAGATTCTTCTCTGAAATGTGGTCGCAGAAACCAGGTGGCACATGAAAGCCCTCCATTGCATTCCAGAGTTGCTGTGTCCAGGACAACCAGTTCCTGCAGCAAGCCTGAGGCTGTCAGCCAGGAGTCCTTGGGCGTAAGTCCCCAGCCCCCTGAGAGAGATTTTCCGAAGGGACTTGCCCTCCACACCAGGGGAAACAAGCTACCCTGTCCCTGCTGGCTAGCACATGAGAGCGCTAAGATGGGGCAACAGTGCTTGGTTCCGTGCCACTTTCAAGTCTCTCCAGTCCTCAGGAAGCAGGCAGAGACCAGGTGAGGTTGGCTGGACGAAGGGGTCATTTTCACTCCATGACCTACAGGAGTGAGATGTTTGTTCTATCAAACTTGGGACTCTTTTTATTATTGGCTAGAGAAACGGGACTTCGCATAGATTTAAATATGCTTTTAAGTTATCATAAATAGAAAGGAAAAAATGTGGGGGCTGACCCAGCAGGCCCAATGTTTTTGATGACTGATGCCGTTTTTCATTTTTCTTTGTTTTTAGAATTATAATTTCAAATAAAACTTATTATTAAAAAAAAAGGCGTGAGATGTTTGCTTGGAGCGACCTGATGCTTCCAGACAGCCTAATCAGCGGTGAAATTCTATGTGCGTTTGGGCAGAAAAAACTCCTACAACTCCCAGCATTCCCAGCCCTTTGAGTAGGAATGTTTCCACCACCTTTAGGTGTTTATTGTGCCCCATGGAAATGCTGCAAGTCAACAGGCCCCACACATGTGTGCGCATGCTCACACACATATGAGGAGGAAAAAAATCTGAGTGTGTGCACACGTGTTTAGTGAATGAGGTTTAAGGGCAAGCCACTTTGTTAGGGTAGAATAGGCGAATATGATGAATTCTCTGCAATCTTTGCTAGACTACAATTTTAATGAGGATTCATTACTTAGGTTGGAAAAACACAACTGTTAAGAGATAGTTGAAATGAATTTCTTTTAAAAATGGAATAGAACAAAAAGAAAAAAGTGCTAATAAATGTTTGAATAAGTCATTGTGCTTCTGTCACTGGCTGTTCATCACCTTCTTCCCGTAAAAGAGAATATTAAAATCTTTCTTAAAAACAGACTGAAGAATCAATGACAAACATATTTTTGAGACGAGACTAGAATCTGGTTAATTGAGGAATGCTGTCCACGGCTATTTGGAAGTATCCTGCTGGGTTCACTCCAAGATAAGGATGCATCAGATGGACCCCCAAGTGAGCCACAATGAGCCGTGCACCCATCCTTCATAGTATGAGGCAGCTAAAGACATTCTGCCTTTACCTCAAGGAGGAATGGCAATGAAATGGCAGCAAAGCACGCAATCTCCTTTTGTCTTCATGGTCCTCATAAAGCAGTATAACGCTTGCTTCATATAGAAGTGCTATTTTATACATAATTTTTAAAAATTTCTAATATCTTGCAGAAGAAACTGCTCTTCAGTGCTGAAAAACAAGTACATCTTTTGAGAATCCCAAATTGCACAATGCAAGGACAGGACTGCATAGAGAATCCAGGATTCTGCGAATTGCTCCTCTTTTCTTTTTAAAAAGGAAGCGGACTTGAACATTCTCTAAAATGGGGCATCCAAATGGCAAGGAACTGGGATGGGGAGAGGTTCAGCTCCTTGCCTCTCCCCAGGACTAACTGGAAGATAGCAATACATGCAAAATAAGCTTTAAAATTATCTGTTTACTTTGTGTACCTCCATTCCAGGATTCCACTTATATTGGTACTGTTTTTGGTTCTCTTGGTGCCAAATTTTGATTTCTATTTAGGACACAATACAAATGGTCTTGTTCACAACTTCTACCATGGCATTCATGCGTAAGTGCATTAAGTGTTCACATTTTAGGCTTTAGAAGAGGCTGCATTCCAAGAATCCATACTGGCTGTGAGAAGGATAAAAGTTCAACTCTAAAGCAAGGGAGCTTCCACCAAAAAACCAAGCCAAGCCAAGCCAATTCTTAACATTTGTGTTAAGAATTCTGACTGATTACTGTGGGACAAGCAAAAGAACAAACAAAGGTGGAGGGGAGAGCCTGACAGCAGCATTTTGCTCCAGGTTCTGTCCCAGACATTTTGCTGCTGAGGTAAAGATCAACTGGCGATTTCCTCCCATTCCATCTACAGAAGCCAGCTGGGCTGGCAGGTTTTCCCACACCAGTGACAGGACAGTTTCTCCCCCGCTCCCCCGAGGGAACCAGGGCTGGGAATGCAGGACAGGACACAGGGAATACCAGTTCTCTCTCCCCAGCCTCTGCTGCCTAAGGTTCCTTCCATGCCCTGCCTAAGAATAGGGACAGTCCTGTTCGGTCACAGGTCTCAGTGGTTCCCAGAGATGCGCCAAGAGAGACACACCAATGTGCCTCTGCTTCTTATGCCATAAAATTTAGTGCAATCAGGCATGGGAAGTTTGGAACAAACATGGTAGGGAGAAAAGGGAAAGAAAATTACTTGTTGTTCTTCTGTCGGCACTTCAGCGGATTCGGTATTTGCCTCTGCATTGTCTTCTGTGTGCGCTTCGTTCTCGTCAGTTGCTTCTGATTTTTCAGTCTCCTGGCAACAAAGGAAAGGACAGCACATGAGTAATAGAAGAAAGCTAGAGAAGAAAATGAAAAAAAGTCTCTGAACAAAAGCAAGTTCAAACAATCCATCATTTCAAAAACGTGTCTAGTAAGTCTCATGGAATGGTACTCATCAGACATTTATGACCAACACCTTTAAAAGAATAAACTGGTCACCTGCATTTCTTAAATGGGTAACACTGCTGCAAATTTAAAATGTTTGCCTGCAAGGTCATGCGCCTTCCTCCATAGGATGTGAGTACAATAAACTCCAGCCAGGCAGTTCAAATCATGTGGGGATGCTCCATGCATACAATATGTGAGATGGCAGCACCAGCTTCTCAATGACCAACCACAGGCTGCTAAGGATCTTCTCAGACTTGTTGGCTTATGAACCAGCAAGGAGAAAGGCATTCCACCATGGCAGAAAGCATTTGCTGTGTCCATACTGTTCCTCAAATGTTCAGTACCACATCCTCATTACAGGCAAAACGGCGTACCCGTGAAGCATATGAGCACATGGCCCTTCAAAGCTGTTATTGTCTTTCTCTTCTTACCGCAGGGTCAGGAGCTTCTTTCAGTCTGAGGGTCAAGTTTCACTTTGGAGACGCTCCCAGGAGTCACATTTCAGTGGTGGGTGAAACCAAAGGTAAAAAGGGCGAGCCAAAATTCCAGCCCATTGTTGCTTAAAGCTCTTTGTGCCTTAGGCTTAGTTTTACAAGACAGGGAAGTGCACAAGAGCCAAGAAACCACAGAGCAATCCATGGTTAGGAAAGTGGGTGGGGCATGGGGATATGGATAGGGCTTACTGGGGAGGTTCAGAGGGTCAGAATGGGACCCCAAGGCTGAGGTGCTGCACCCCTTTCCTTGGTGAGGTAAAGCCAAAACAAAAGGCAAGTTTGAAAAGAAGTACTGAAGGGTGTAATCTTATGCAAATTTGGTTAAAAAAAAGTCCTAGAACTCCCAGCATGCCCCAGGCAGAACAGGACTGCTGTGTAAGTTACGGAAGGATAAATAACACTTCTCTCACTTCTGTAGCTTTGTGCTCTTCTCCTGAAACTTCACCATTTGGCACAGACGGCACCTCCTCAGTAATCCTCTCCTCCTGAGCAAAGGAATGCAAACAATATTTAAAATGGTAACAAAGCTATGTTGAAGAAATGGAGTGATGCTGTTGAAGGATGCCCATTCCAGCAGCAAACTCTGCAGTGATTGCTTGGGCATGCCCAGGTGCCCAGTTCTAAGAACACCAGTACAGCTTCCGTCCCCAGTGCAGCAGGTGCTGGGCCTTCACTTGTTCGCCTCCCCATTCCTTCTCCACTGGTTCCCAGCCTGGAATCCTGCTGCCCACAGCAGATGAGGCTGGGGAACAGAGGACAGGACTGCAGAGGGAGCAAGCAGAGGAAGTCCCAGATGCCTGGACTCCTGCTTCAAGGAAGGGTGCACTTTCCCTAGCTTGTGACCAGGCCATCTTTATGTGGACTGCATGGGTTTCTAGCCTTGCTAACATTTGGCTCAGCATCTCCGTGGTTAACGTCTGATCAGGCAGATAAACCCCAAGGGCCCTTGATTCAGAAGAAACGTCAGCAGAGCCTTATGGAGATGTTCATGCATTTGCTGCACAAAATCTGAGATAGGGATGCTTCAACGGAAACAATTCTAGAAGCTTATTCAAATTTAATACAAGGCTTTGATAAAATGCCAATATTTTTATATTTAGATCATTTAATAAATTAGTTTTGTAAATGTAAATATGTGAATTACCTGAGGCAAAGATTCAAATTTGAAACAAATCAAGGAACAAAAAAAAAAAATTAACAGAAGCATCACAGTTGGTGATCGCTAAGATCCATTCATACATTAATTATATTCATTATTTTAAATAAAATATCTTTATTGACTGGATTACATTCACTAAAGGCTACTAAACTTCATCAATTTTCCAGTTTTGTATGAAGAGAATGCAACCCACTATGATCCCTGGTTTATATAGTACACTGTTTTCTAAAAAGTGATGCCTTTTATTACATTTAATACACTTAAATAAAGTTAACAAAGCCAAAAGGCTGTATTGCTCCACTGATATAAATATGCTGCCATATATGAAAAACACAGTGCCCTTGAAGTGAGGAAGTAATTTTTCCTCAGTGGATTATAAATATGTTGAAATTAGAAATTTACAATATTTTTAAAAGTTAGAATAACAACAGTACGGATTTATATACTTTTGGTACATTTCAATGGTTTAGCAATCTGAATAGCTGTTGCTTCTTAAGGTTTCTGCTTCTTTTACTTAAACATTTCTTGAAAGCATTCTTACACACACACACATTCCTTTAAGCAACTTATGTCATTGTTCAGGACAAGGGAAAATACATGGCTGGGCCTTGATAGTCCATGATTAAGAATCTTGCCAACAGAGACGTCACTCCATTCTTTCAGCACAGCCAGCTGTCCCACATGACCTCTCTGCTTCAGATTACATATTTGTATTAAAAGTTGAGGGGGGAACTCTCAGGAAGAAATCTCCCTTGAAGTTAGCAGCCTAGCTTGGTGACAGGTCAAATTATCTCTCATTCAGTTGCCAAGAGATAAATGGCACATCCCAAACTATTTCTCTTCCTATTTTTCCATTCTTCTCTTCCTCTTGGCATCCTGCAACCTGCTTTGTTGGTTTTCTTTTAAAGTATGAGGTGTTTTAAGTGATGCATCGAAAGGACACTAGGTTTGGGAAGGCTGATTTAAATAGTAATATTTCTAGGCTCTATTTCTGAATCACCTCCCCTCCTGCTGCAGGTGACGGACATTACAAGTTCAATTAAAATGTAACCTAAAACACTGTAAAGGACACTGTTCCCAAGACAGTGGGGGTTGGAATAGCGCCTAGCACAGATTCTCAGTGGGAATACTCTTAGTAACCAAAAGTGCACACTTCCACAGATATGAGTGCCTATAAGCTAAATTCCTAGATTGTGACTTGGAAGATCTGAGTCATAGTATTGTCCTCTGCAGAGGCACTGACAGGTTGTGACCTGGTCTACATGATAAAAGCCCACAAAGGAATAATTTACTCATAGGGTCTGTCATGTTCAGCACTATGGAAACCATTTTTACATGGCACGTGCAGGAGCCTGGCTTGCCATGGCTTGTCCTGCAACCAAGAAAGAAGTTGCCTGAGGATTAGACAACCCTAAAAAAATTCCAAGGCTTGTTTTAGGGTTCCTTCAGGGTTATCTAACCATCAAGCAACTCCTGCACCTGGGTTTTCATGACATAATACGTCATGGAAAGTTGTCACAAAAATGAATAAAAAATGAATAAAAATGGCACCCATGGGAGTCTGGCATAAATCCCCCCACATGGCTGTGGCTGCCATCTTGTGGCTGTCACAAATTAAGCCATGGTGGCTGTCAGTGTGGTGTCGTGGTTAAGACCATGGGACTGAGACTCAGACAACCTGGGTTCTAGTCCCCACTCAGCCATGGAGCCAACTGGATGACTTTGGGCCAGTCACAGACTCTCAGCCCAACCTACCTCACAGGGTGGTTGTTGTGGGGATAAGATGGAGGAGGAGAATGATGTAAGCTGCCTTGAGCCCTTTGTAGGAAAAAGGCAGGATATAAATGGAAAAATAAATAAATAAATAAACAAATCTTGTGCAAACATCCCTACTGAGTATCTCAAAGGGAGAGACCACAGCTCCATGGAAGAGCACCTGCTTCACATGTAGATGGTTTCAGATACAATCCTTGCCATCTTCAGGTAGGCCTGGGAAAGACTCCTGGCCTAACCTTGTAAGCGTCTGCCTGGCAGCACAGAAGATGCTGAGCTAGACTGACCAACAGACTGCCTTCGTGGAAGGCAACGTCCTATGCTCCCAAGGCATGGGAGGAACATGGCTGCAACTGACTGGCTCTGCATTTACAGACCGGGTGCAAATTGCCATCATCAACATTAATCAACCGTTAAGTTTGTCAGGGGATGTACCTCACACTGGTCACATGAAGATACATTGGGAAGGGATTCATGGAAGCTGCACAATGAGTTATGATGATCTGGAGATTTGTTTAATCAAATTTAAGAGGCACTAATGCACTAATGCATTGGACCATAATGCAAATCATATAGCCTTGATATGATCTAGTACTGAGGATTACATTTGAAAGCAAGTTACACATTAGATGGTTCACCTAACTGGAAATTTTTGTATCTTTATATCCCTGCTATATATGGACTAAAAATTCAGAACCTCTAATAAAATTTCCTCCTAAAAACCTCACTGCTGAAAACTAGTAATGTTTCAGTATTTAAATCTGTAGCTCCAAGCACAGTTGCCTGGAAGAATGTTCCATTGAAATGAAATGGACTGCATCCGAGTAAATTCAGATATAAATGTTAGCGTACCATATCCTATTGGGTAGGACTCATATTTCATAATTCATAATAATCCCCAGTGAGATTAATGGCTCAAGATGCATCCATTACAAAGTAATTTGAATAGATAGTTCCTAAGAAATTCATGGCAAGTTATTTTTATTGCAAAAACTGAATCTTAATAAGCTTTGTTTATCTTATTCAGGGTTAAAACCTTTTAAAATCTGTGTTGCTTTACATGATGACAATAAATCTAATTTATTACCAAATTAAAGTGAGTAATTCCCAAATTATATAAATTCATACCATTGAGCCTGGTGGAGGAGCAAGGCCTAGGAATGAATAAATAATATTTTCTTCTTTTGCAGAGAAAAAGGAGTCAAAATCCTAGAATGAGAATAATAATGAAAAACAAACAAGATTGATTGATTAGTAACTAAAAACAAAACCCTTCCAATCCATAGTCCTCTAATGCGCACACAAAGTTTTTATATGCCTAGCTTACATGCACAAACAGCTGTCCTTCTGCACACATCTTATGACGCACAGCACATGAAATCCCTTCCTAGTAGCATCAGTAGCTCCACTATTCACTGGTCTCACTGCTAGAGTTATTCTAGCTTCAGCCTCTCCCTAAAGCTTACTGCATAATTTGTAACTGCTAGACTCTAGCGAACATGTATGAAATGTCAGTACAAATGTGTCTAGTCCTTTCCTCCATAAACTACTTATTCATTAAACTCCTCCTCTCTAGGACAACATAGGACAGATTAATATCATTGAATTCAACAATGTGTTATTGCCCCAAAGGCAACAGGATCATTTATTACATTATTAGCTTGTGCGTGATTTTTCCTTTAAACAGCTAGTAGTTATGGTAGTTTGTGGAGGAGGGGGCCAAAGGCTGTCCCAAGACATGTTGCTGCCTAAAGCAAAGGATAATATGGCCCCTTCCTACATACGCACATTTCATGTACAAAACTCACTGGACTGCCAAGACAGGGCAGTGTCCTTCACCACCCCAGAGGGCAGCAGGCTGGCGGGAGGTGCAGGCTGGCGGGAGGTGCAGGCAGGCCATGTGGGACACACAGATCTGTCCTCTAACACCTCACTACTTCTCCTTGGCCTGCTTTGCATGACTTGACAGCTCAGTGTGGCTTAATTTAGCCCAGGGACTGTTGCAATCATGTGCATCAGCTGTGAATGCCAAGCTACAGTAGTAGCTCGCTGTGTTGTGGCAAACCCAGGTGGCGTTGCTTGTTGGGGGTGGACAGCAACAGCCCATGGGTTGTTTAAGGGTTGCTGCCCACTCCAACAAACCATGGCGCCCAGGTTCACAATACAGGACAACCCATAGTAGCAAGGACAATTAAGAAAGTCATAATGGCACAAGCAGTGGGATAATGCAGTGAACCTGCAAACCTGGTCCTAGTCTCACTCTGCCCTGTGTCAGGATCATCTCAGCTGCATCCTAAACACTCTTAATAGGCAACAAGACCCATGGAACTCAGTGGGGTTTATTTTCAAGTAACCATGCCTAGGACTGTACCATATGAATGAAAAGTGCTTGATGTAGGACTGGATCATATGCAATATTTTCCATGGTTTACCTGATTATATCCAGAATCCCCCAAAAATTACATATGGAAAATTAGCTACTAGAGTATGCAGGTAAGCATTCCATCAGCCAAATACCAATATCCTGCAGAATTTGTTCATTTGTATTCATTTTATTTAAAATTATTTCTAAGTCAACTTTATTTAAAATTATTTTGAACACAATTGCTCTTAATAGCAGGTAAGGGCGAAAATGCAAGCAGGTGGATATGGGAGAGTGAATTACATTCAGATGCTATGATGGATTACTGAGGCATGGAGACTCAGCTAGGTTTGCTCCTGATTGGACTCGACCTGAAGATGACTGCAGAATTCTGGAAATGGGACAAGTGGTACAGCCAAACTACACCAGCTGCTGTGCTTTACAAATGGTGTTGGACAGTTAGACAGCGAAGAGCAAAATCTGGAAGTCCACATTGCAAGAAGGAGACTCAAGTGTGAAAATTTGCATTCTGGAGGTATTTGCATACTTTTGGAAGACATAAGCATTTTCAGAAGCGTGAATCTGCATAAATTCAAAATGCAAACCTGATTCTGTCAGTGAGTGGATGCTGAAATGAAAAATACCTGGTAATCCACAAACCATAGCTGGAACAGATTTTATAGTGCCTAGACAGCCACTATAAGTGGCACCCCAGGAGAAAGTCAGTACTGTGCTTGCTAATTAAGTAAGGCTGGGGATTAGGAACAATTTTCAGATGGGAATCCTGGTAGGACGATGATGATCAATATATTTAGGAAATGGCTCAAAACTTAGGTGTTACCTGTTAGTAAGAAAAGGGGGTTACAAATTATACATACATTTGCTACAGTGAGGGGTTTTTTTTTTTAAACACTATTCAAAATATACAATTGGGGCCCAAACTTCAAGCACACCTCCTAGTTAAAGTAAAACATTTTATGGTAGCACAAAAGCATTGAGCAGAAAAGTAGATAAAAGAACAGTGATATGTTGTGGGATGAAACCTTTCAGGAACATGCACTAGAGAATTCTTTTGATACCGCAGTTCTAAAACTTTAACATTAAAAGATCTCATTTACACGAGAGCGAGTTCTCAGATCTTTGCCTCTTGCATGTCTTCTCTCTCTCTATCTTCTGTCTTCTATCCTTTATATGGGGGTGGGATGTCATGCACTTGGTGCTGCATTGCCGCTTGTGAAAATATAATATTAAGACTATAAAGCTGTGGTTCTTTTCTCATCTGGGAAAGCCCTTAGACATGTAGCTTTGATATGTCGACTGCGTGGTGCCTAAAATAGCATCATGCAGAGTCAGAGATACTGTATATTTCTAATTTAGAATCTATGCAGACGTTCCATAGCAGGTGCGCCTTGGCAATATATATTGTGCGGGATCACTCTCTCTGTTACCAAGCATGTGAAAAGGGAGTGTTTCAAAGAATTTTTGCTGTTGCTATTGATGCCTTGGGGAGGATCTGTATTCAGTGCTGGAAAACACTCCAGAGAGGAATCAGAAGGGGAAGGCCCCTGGCTGAAACAGACTGGCAGGCCTGCTGCCAGTCTGTAATAGACAATGAGACAGTAGGTGGACAAGGCAGCCTCAGCTTTCCATGAAGGATAAGTCTATCAGTGGCTATTGATCTTCATGCTATATACGACTGCCTGCATCAGGGGCAGTGTATCTCTAGATGCCACCTGCTCAGGGGCATCCGTAGGAATGGTTGGGTGCTCCTGCATTCCTGTCTCGCTTGCAGTCAAAGGCCACTGTGGTTGGTGGTGGTGTGCACAGAAAGCTGGATTAGGTAAGCGTTTGATCTGACCCAGTGTGGCTCTTTCTGTTCCTGTTAGACATTCCAATATTCAAATTCCTGAATTGCTGCATATGCTTCTACCATTCACAGTAGGAAATCTACGTGAGGAGGCCCAAAAGGATTGCTCTCAGAGGCGTCTTGGACAGAACAATTCAATGACGTTTTACTCAGAGGCCTGTTCCATTATAGTTAGTGAGATCTACCTTGACCTAACTGCATGTCTAGGTTGCAGTCCTCAATTGTTCCCCTCACCCTCCCCACAAAACTCTGGCTGTCTTCCACCAGCATAATGCATGTAGTTGCTCTGCATGAGGACAGGATGAATTTAATCTACACGACTGCAACCCACCCCTTTTGTTGGGCTGATCAGTGAAAATGGCTTGCTATAAAACAGGAGGTAGAAAGTTAAACCCACCTTCATATTAGAGGCAGGGAGGAGCATTTCAATCTGCATCTGAAAGTACTTTTGCAGAGTGAAATGTACTTGTGATAAGACATTCTATAAGGATTTTGATCTTATGGGGCTAGCCTGACAGGTGATTGAGAAGTATAGAGTACTGCCTGGAACCTCTGCTTTAATTCCAATTCTAGCTAACTGTGAAAAAGCAACACTTCAGTTGTTTGGACTCAAATATAGAAATCCCCTTCAGACCAAACAAGACTTTCTACGCTAGATATATCACATGCAGTGATATACCTGGTTTAACTTTATTAAATAACATGCATAGGGCTGTGGGAGAGAGGGAAATTCTTGCTAGAAATGCAGCACACAGGGAAGGGAGCTTATCTCTTCCCACCCCACTGTGATCAGAACTGAAATTGCCTTCCTCTGCAGAACACTCACAAAATAATTCCCCATCGGTGCCACACAGTGGCTTATCATGGTCTCTTGAATGGCCTTCCACCAGAATATTATTTTTGGCTCAGGGACAGAACTCAAGAATGCTGTCTAATCTCAGTCCACTCTACTTCCCAAACCAAAAATATCGCCATGCTGGAAGGGAACAAAACACCGTTGAGCTAAACTGCATGGATTATAGGAGTTGTAGAACAGCCTATCTGGAATTGTAGTCCAGCCCATCTAGAAGGAACCAGGTTGGAGAAAGCTGCATTATGCCAATGATGTCCACAGAGCAAACAGATCCTGATGACAGACTCAGAGGAAAAGTATGATGACACTAAACTTTTTAGGGTGGTTAAAACCAAAAGGGATTGCGAGGATCTTTCCAAGATGGGAGAATGAGCATCAAAATGGCAAATGCAGTTCAATATAAACAAGTGTAAAGTGATGCATGCTGGGGTAAAAAATCCCAATGTCAAGTATATGCTGATGGGATCTGAGCTAGCAGTGACTGGGAAAGAAAGGTGTCCTGGGGTGGTAGCGGGCAGTTCAATGAAAATGTCAGCCCATGTGCAGCTGCTGTGAAGAAGGCAAATTCTGTGCGAGGCCTAATTAAGAACACAGAACTGTCAAAACCTTACTTCTTTGGTGCAACTGCACTTGGGATATTGTGTTGCCCAGATGCAAAAGAAGACCATCTTCCAGATCTTTACATTTGGGTACAGGGCAGCCATCTACTCACTGCTAAAAAAAAAAAAAGGTGTCACCAAAGAAAGAGGACACCACTCTGCCTAAATTTTCCACATACAAATCTAGAAGTATAGCTGCAAATTAGAAATAATAAGTGCACCTTAAATAGAAGCACAACATATCTCAGCATCATTAAGCTGTGTGCCTGCTCAGCCAGCTGTCTAGGTGCTGACTGATGACTGTGGGACACTTCAAGACCCTCCCCTGCTTTCCCTTCTAACAGTTCTTTGTCTCTAAATTAGGGATGTCAAAGAAATCTGTGATTGCCTCAAATGAGTTCAAATTTCTAAGAATCTGATGCACAGATTCTGGAACTGCCTGACTTTCCTGAATTGCATGGATTCCACAGACTTGCAGAGGATAACTAACAGGGACATCTTCAAAAAGAGACCTGTCTGTTGACTGATTTTCGGAATAGTGCACTATGTAACACAGGATAGCAGGGCAGCCTAGCTGGGTAGAAGAGGGAAGTTCAGCATGTGGAGCATGAACCTGGCCATCCTAACAACATATGCAACAGCAGTCAGAAATAGGAACTATCACAACATCCATATATTATTCACAGAGGCGTAAGATTTGTTGAGGAACTGCAAGAGCTGGGGATAAGGGCTATTTTTCCCCCAGGGTGCAGAAGGTGTTTCTAAGGTCTGCTATGAGTGAAAACGGTATAATTAGCATGGCCACCAGGCTCCCGAGCCTCTGCATCTTAGTTCTACAGAAGCATTTCTATCCTGTTTTTGGGCCCTGAACAGACTCCCAAGGAAGCTTGCAGTCATCAATTTAAAAAATGCATTAATCAAACTGTTCAAACTTAACTAAATAGTAGGAAGCAATCGTAAGACGGTACATCTAAAAACCAAAGCAGAATAGGCCGTTCAGCCTACCTAGGGAGGGAATTCCAAAATATTGATTAAATAGAACCTTGCAATCAAATGATCTTCAAAATGGCTTACAATAGATTGCATCGATATACAGACATGCATATTTGCAAACTTCAGATCTGTACAACCCATCCAGCTCTGGTCCTGGGGCTGATGGATGGGGCCAAACCATGCTTTCCATAGGGGAAAAACAGACATTACCTTAAAGACATAGCTAGCAGCTATGTGTTTTATATTTAATGTTTTACAGTAACTGAAGAGAACTGATCTATCTCAGGGAGCTGTGCCTACAATTCCATTAAATACGAATGATCTATTTGTATCTATGGATCACTTCTTTGCAGCAGAAACTGTAGATATGGCACTTCATCTGTCAAATCTGAAATGGGAGCTTATGCATGCATGAGGCGGCGAGGGAAGGCTGTGAAGTCTACCCAACCTCCCACATGAGGACCCCAATGACTGTGCCTTCTCTAGAGTGAAAATGAGGTGTGGGGTGGGGAGAACTGTAGCTCCAGCTAACGTCTGTTTTGGCCTGTAGCTTTTTGCACCTGCATGGCAACTGGCAGGGGGGAAGTGTTCTTGCACATAGGGAGAAGGGAAGCAAGCTCTCTGCAGTTGCTCCCTCTCTGGCGATGGACAGAGCCAGGCTGCTTCTGGATGTTCAGTTCGACAGAGCGTATCAGCTGAACGTCAGGTGGTGATGGGGTACAAAGATTTAATGCAGGAGAAGACGAATGACAGAGCCCTCCAAATATCCTGGTTTCAATTCACAGTTAATTAACAATATTTATACCCTGTCCTTTACAAAACGTCCCAGGACAGCTTACAACCTTAAGAGGTTGTGACTTAAAGACATTATTGCAAATAACCAGCAGCCTTGAATTGAGCTGGAAACAAACTGGAAGGCAGTACAAGGTCAACAGATTTTCATGGTTTACACTAGAAAAGCATTAGATATTTATTTACTAGTTTATTTGATTTGCACCCCATCTTTTCACCAAAAAAGGTAATCAAGGAAACTAAATGACATTTGAGCTATTCATGCTGCATACTGCACTAGGTAAAACTTTGCAGACACTTTAAATCTAGGATCATGTAGATTGCATTGCAATAATACAGATGTGTATTATAATAAAATGTGCTGGTGGGTAAGAAGAGAAGACATGTATCTATAAGTCTCCCAGTTCCTTTCCCATCACAACATGGGTGAATATTCATGTTCATGTGTACAGTGTAGTGGTTAAAATTGCAGGACTGGGACTCAGGTGGTCTGGGCTCTACTTTCCACTCTCAGCCAACTGGGTGACTTTGGGCCAGTCACAGACTCTCAGCCCAACCTACCTCACAGGGTTGTTGTGAGGATAAGATTGAGAGCAGGAAGAAGAGAATGATATAAGTTGCTTTGAGTTCTTTAAAAGAAAACAGAAAAAAAGGTGGGATATAAATCTAACAAAGAATAATCTGATTTGGTTGTGACCATCATATGACATGCACATGGTAGGCATGTCATGAGTGGAGCCAGCTGGAGCTGGGGGTCAGACTAGATGGTCCAGGAGACCCCTTCTGACTCGCTCTGTTTCTATGAGTGACGGTGGGCAGATCTGCCTTTTCTAGCAACTGACGCTAGAGTAGATGGGCCCCATATGAATAAAGAGGAGAAAATTAAGCACAAAACCTAAGGATACTGTCAGTCTGCTGTCCACGTGCAAACTGTTGATTGGCAACAATACTTAAAATACTTTATCTTTAATCTAGAATTGGACTAGATAGTCCTTTGGATAGAGGACTTTCAATAACGGTCTGTCCTCTCTAAAAGAAGACACGTGGCCACAAACTAATGTGAATGGTAGAACAAGAGAAGCTTTTAAGGACTTAATTAAGCAGATATGTTCTATTTTCGAAAATGATGAACATGCCAGCTTTTCTTACCCCACAATACTGTTCCTCATTGAATATCTGTGGAGGGAGGGGGATTCCATTCTGAGGCTTCTTTTCACCTGGAACATTCTCTCTCATCCATTTCCTGTTGTCTTCATCACCGGCTATGTCCAGTTCCTTAAAGTCAATCTTGTTGGCCTCTAAAAAGCCCACTACTTCTTGCTGTTTCTTCTTAATCTGGTTAGAAGGAGAAAATTGTTCTGTGCTTACTTAGTGGCAGAGATATATCCAATTTGACCATTTAAACAACAGTTGCCTTGTGCCATTCTGTTTTTTGAGGGCTTTTGCATATGACACCTTCAATTGATTCCCTCCCTCAGTGAGTCTGCCTGCTCACCACCATTGTCAACAGCTGCTATAATTTAAAGACACAGTATCATAAAATCATAATTTGGGACATGAAATTTTCCAGTATATGCAATTGCAAAGAGGAAAAAAACCATAATATGCAGCACAGTCAGTGATTCAGAATACAAATAAATGTCTGATGATAATAATAATGTCTTCAGCTGGCATCAAAATCCTGATAAAGAAGATGCAAGGTGAAGCTCTCTGTGGAAAGCATTCCACAGGGAGGGTACCATGACCAGAAAGACCCTCTGTATGACAGCTACTCACTTCCGGTCACTGGACACAGGGCACCACTCTGAAGAGGACCCCAAGCTTCATTTATGAGGCAAGGGGTTATTTTTGTAACCTGGTCCCAAGCAGTTAAGCTGGTCATGTACAGTTATCACTGTACCCTAAGCTGAGACTGGACCAACTTCTGGCTCACCTCTGCAAAGAAGCACACACTGTCCAAAAATCTTGGTTACTAGGAGCTGTGGTGGTCATGAAGTTGGTCTCTGAGCAGGAAGGAAGCTTTCAACATTATAGGGAGTGGTGCATAAAATGACCGGTGGGTGGTGGGAAAATTGTCACATGGGTTGCTTGACACAGGTAGGAGGACAGATGCAGAACCTTAGGGAGGACTCCTTGTGTCCACACTCTCCTGGTAGATCATATTACTCCTCAACCAGTGCCCATCTCTCCACCTCAGAACTATGTCACTGAGGATCCTCATCATTGCCCATGCCTTTGACCACAGACAGTAATTCCTCACAACTAAACATCTCTAAATGTCTAGCGAGAAAGAAGCTAAGCATTATGGGCAACCTGTCTTGTAATTTTGGTAATCACAGAAAAGGGCTGGCAATCATATTCATCTGTGCAGGCACCCTCTAACTTAAAGCAGTATGCAGGTGCCCACAAGGAAGGTTAAAATGACACCATGAAAATGCCAAGGCATCATTCTGCAAATCATACCCACAGGCCCTCAAATTGTGACCAGAAACGTGCACTATATTCCGAAACTGTACTTGATCTTTGTGCCAACGTTATAGCAACTTAAATGACATGAGCAAATGTCATCTTGGATGAGGTCATAAAGATCATTTTTGCTTGTGACTACATCATGTGATTAAAAATCTGATCTCCCCAAACAAGACGTGTGAATGACAAAGTCCATGAGGTCATATACTCAGTGAAACCATGAGAAGCAGCATCTGAGCATTCTCTCAGGAAACCTGATCTGCCTTTACTTTCTTTTCACTGATGCGGTTCCAAGGAAGCCCCGGATTCCCCAGAACTGCATTTGTATACTACTGTTTTGTAGACAGGACACTACATGTCCCCCTCAACAGCAGGGCTCACCAAGCTGTGTGGGATGTGGTCAGGATAAGCATAAGGGGGAAGAAAAGACCTCAGCCAGAGGGGCACTTATGAATAAATAACCAATCACATAATTACATAAGGAGTAAAGAATCACTAACACATCAGCCAAGAACTAAAATAGCAGCAGCATTTCATGCACAAGTGCCAACTGCAAATGCCTCACTAGATAAATGGACGTTAACACACCTGCAGCATCGCATTCTCAGCCCAAGCCAAAGCATGTCCACTTCACAGTTATGTCCTGTGCAGGTCTAAATTGAAGCTGGAGCAGAGCATGTGCTCTAAAGCACAGCCACACTTCAGATCCTCTCCTGCACTGCACCCCAACAGGCTCCTAGGGCTCCGTTATAGGGTGGCCATGTGATCTCTTCTACAGAGGACTGTCTTCTAGCTCGAAAGCAGCCAGAGGCCTGCCCTCTATTTTGAAATAAGCTACTATGTAAAGGGCTATCCAGTCTAAGTCCAAAGTATAAAGTTCCATTAGACAGAAGAGCAAGGCCATGAGGTTGTTCCCCAACAGAAGTCCAGAAGTCATTGGTCACAGTCTTCCACACCATGGAGAGATGAACTATTTGTCTCTTTAAATTATAATCATTTAAAAACACTTACAGAAGCCAGCTAGGCTTATTTCAATAGTACCCCTGAGAGAGTCAGTTAGTTTAAGCACACGAGGATAGTTGTGTAGGTCCATGTCCTCCAACAGAAGGGAACTGCCAGGGAGTTCAGGAGGAACACCTGGAAGGTTGCGACTGATGCCCCCTGGAACCAGCTGCTTGAGGCAATCGCCTCATTCTGCCCAAAGACAGGACTGGCCCTGGAAGCGGGAACAGCCACAGAAGCACCACCACTCCCACTCCTGGCAAGAACATCTAAAAACCAAGCTATGCCTTGCATGGAATGCGTTGCTTATATTAGCTGCGTCTCATTCTTTTCAGGAATGCAGTGTGCAAGGAGAGCCTTAGCTCTTCACTCCTTAATCACGATCTGAATTAAAAAAAACACTACCCCGTGGCATGTAGGAGGCCTGTTTTTCCTAAGCACGCAAAGATTGAGAAGGTAGGACAATTTTCATTCTGACTGTAGTTGGGAAGAGAAAGGAAAAGACCACCTTCCTTCCCATGTGCTACCTTCCTGGTAAGAATATCCCCACTTGCTTCGCCAGGGTGCTAGTAATTAATTAAATAAAATTAAGATGTAGCTACATATACAGTGGTACCTTGGCTCACGAACTTAATCCATTTCAGGACTCTGGTCGTGACCCAAATTGGTCATAAGCCAAGTCAAATTTTCCCATAAGGGTCAATGTAAATAAGGTTAATCCGCCTGCAACTATTTTTTTACTCACAAAAATCTGAAGCAGTGACAAAGAACAACAAAGATTGTGGCCATCTCCCCCCCGCCACCAACGATTGTGCGGGGGGGGGCAAGGGGAGACGGGTGTGATCGCGGGCGCGTGGGTGGAGGTGGGCACGGGGAGGCAGGGGTGGGGGGGCTTGGGCAGGGAACACAGGCGCAATTGCGGCCATCTCCCCCCCCCAGCACAATCGCAACCATCCCCCCTGCACGTGCCCGTGCAGGGAAGGTGGGCGTGCTCACGATCGCCACCAGATCCAGAGTTCGCAACCTGCAGCAAAATTTTCATGAAATTTCTGTTTGCAACCCGATTTGGTTTTGAACTGAGGCGTTCGTGAGCTGAGGTACCACAGTATTAACATGCAATAGCTATAAGGCCAGGGGACTGGGGGAAAGGGGCATTTCTCTTCGAGCCTTCATAGACCACTACTGCTTTTTTTTTAAGGAATCTTATGTTCATTATGCATTAATTTCTACTTAGCAGCAGCTGCCTATTGTCAAGTAGAAAGATGGAATGTGGATATTTTTAATAAATAGTTGGAAATGTTTCTGGTGAGATTGCTCTTCTATTTCTCTTGGGATGCAAACTTTGTCCTCTGACCCACTGACTCTGTACATTTGGACTAACTGATATTCATCTAGAATCAAGTTTTGTAGTAGCAGGAACATTTAAATTGGCATACAAAGTTGATGTGGCTCTTTGATCTGGCACAATAAAAATCTGTTCTTGACTATGTATGATGCATAATTTTTTCTGCTGTTGCAGCTCTCCTTTCTTGAGTTACAAGCTAAAATGCAGAAATGATAAAATTCATCCTTTAACTTATTCCTTTGGAAGCCAATGTCTTTTCTTTCTTTCACATTAAAAACAACCACAAAACTACACATTGCTATTTCATCAGATTTCTACAGAATAATACGTCAAATCATCTCTCATGGATGAGAACAGAATAAGCAAAGTAAAATTTATGAGCTCAAAGGTTCAAGTGCAGTAGATTTTCATAGGATCACAGAGTTGGGGGAAAAAAACAAATGCTATTTAGTTCAACCCTCTCCCAAAGGTGAAGCATAAACTACATAACACAAACCATTTTGTGCTCCTCTGCAGAAAGAGGCTTGCACAGCATATGAATTCTTCTGCTGTCCTCTTGTGAGTTGTGAATCTAGGGTGTCCATTTCAAAATAATGTTTATTATATGTTGGCGAGTAATAATATTCTGGGTCATGAGGACTTAAAATACAGAACTTAAAATATATAAATCTTAAAATAGAGAACACCAATCAAAAGGCTATTAGTAAACATTTGTTCTTGTATATTGTGTCATCAATGTATATGGCAATTTACAGAGCAACAGAAAGATAAACAGATCCCACCTTAAAGATAAAGAGATCCCATCTCATATATGTCATGATTGTTTTCAATCTGGCCATTTTGAAGACAATCTACCACAAGCCTCCATTATTCCTAACCAGATTAGTCAGTTGTCTGAAGATGATGGGAATCATAGTCCAACACATCTTAAAGGTACCAGGTTGCAGAACACCAGCTAGGGGAATACAGTGGTACCTCAGCTCATGAACGCCTCAGTTCATTACTAAATCGAGTCGCGAACAGAAATTTCATAAAAATTTTGCTGCAGGTCGCTAACTCTGCATCGGGTGACGATTGCGAGTGCACCTGCCTTCTCTGCATGGAAGCAATTGCAGTCGTGCTGCGGGGGGGGGGGGGGGAGATGGCCATGATTGTACCTGTGTTCCCTGCCCGAGCGCACCCGTGCCTGCCTCCCCCCCCCCAGTGCGCCGGTGCCCATCTCCCCATCCTGAGCATGCCTGCAATAGTGCCCGTCTCCCCCGCAGTGCACCCGCGATCACACCCATCTCCCTCCCGCACGATCCCGGGGGGGGGGGGGAGTTGGCCACGATTTTTGTTGTTCTTTGTCACTTTGCTTCAAATTTTTGTGAGTAAAAAAAATAGTTGCAGGATGGATTAACCTTATTTACATTGACCCTTATGGGAAAATTTGACTTGGCTCACGACCAATTTGGGTCACGACCAGAGTCCTCGAACGGATTAAGTTTGTGAGCCAAGGTACCACTGTACTGTCTAAACA